CAAACAATATCCGGCCCTGTATAGCAGGATAAGCCATCAGAGGCGGGAGTGATCAATGGAGGGACGCGAAACACTAACGCCAAGGGGATGACAACTGCTGAGGAATAAAGAAACTACATGCAGGTACACTGGGAACACGTCATGCTGGAGTTGACGTGTTCCCAGCCCGTCCTGTACCATGCAGCCCGTTCCGGTGATCACTCCCGCGGGGCCGGATATTGTTGGGAGCTGTTTAGACACTGGCGTCAGCGGCTGTGGCGACTGACGGCCGAGCCGACGGCGTGCACAGCTCAGCTGTCTGAGGTCAGGGCTGCGACACAGCTCAGCTATCTCGGGTTAGGACCGTGACCCCCTATGAAAAGACCCAGAGAGGGATCTAACATCGGTGAGTCCCTGCTTAACCCTAACAATCCCTACTTTTTTCTCCGCGCTATAAAAAAACACATGCGAGTTATAAAAAACACATCCCTATCAACCAGTCCCAGTGTACCAAATTTGAGCGCAATCGGCGTGGCAGTTCAGGGTTCAAGATATATGAGCAACCCAAAATCGCTACTGCAGCAGAATAACGAACACTCTTGGCCCTTCACGTCGCACGTGTCACGACGCTCACGATGATACATCAGTTGTAGTCAATAACTCACCAAGCTACATCAGTTGTAGTCAATAACGAGATGGAAGGGATAGGATTACGCGCAACAAAGAGTAACGCAGGTCAATCAGCCCAGCGGTTGCTGACTTACAAGCCTATTAAAAACGTTACAGGAATACGCTTCGCTAGCTCAAACGTAATAGAGTAGAATCATTACATATATGCAATTGCTACTATTTCCTGGTTTTCTTTATAGGCCAAGGCTTGGTAACTGATAACTCTGCTGCCCTGTAATGGGTCCGGCCCGCTGTGGCGAGTGAAGACACTCGCTCTGACTGACTGGACCGCCAGCCGAGACGCTGCTGACTCTGGTGGTGAATGGTGAGCGGAAGAGGAGAAAGTTTACGCCAAAGCTGAAGCAACTCTACATTGCTGTACAGCTAATACGCTTTTCACCTGGTGGCCAGTAGAGGAACTAACAGTTACTACAACTGACCGTCAGAAGCACCCAACACACACCGTGCCGCTCCCAGTAACATACCAGGATGTAGACCCCAGTCGGGCAGCGCTCCGGCGTCCGGCAGCCGCAGCTGGTCCAGCAGTGACAGTAGCCGGCCGGCGCTGCCCTCCGGCGCCGTACGACAGACGTTCACGGCAACCACCCTGACGGACAGACGTTACACGGTCAGCAGAGAGCCGACACTCGGTCAGCGGACAGTGGCGTTGGGTCACCAGATGGCAGAGCATCGCCGCAGCACACAGACCAGACAGGACTGTGCCGACAACGCAACCCCGTTGGAGTAACATGACCCTAATAAATGCACCGAAAATGTTCTGGTCTATCTCCATTATTTATAATAATAAAAAAATGAAAGAACAACTGAGATGAGGGAAAGGAGTGAGGCGTCTGTTAGGGTCCCCGTGCAATACGCCCGGTGCGGTGACTGACCTCATCGCCGCTAGCTGGAGAGCTGGTTCACCCGGCTGACGACCTTCTGTACCTCCTCGGCGGAGAGCGGGTGGCCGTTGGTGGTCCACCGCAGCCCGTCCCGGTAGCCGGCCGCCCCATCCGGCGACACGCCCTGCGGAGTCATAGCATAACAATCAGGCAGGTTCAGGTTTCAGTCCGACACACAGAACCGTCCGGCGACACGCCCTGGGGGCGACACATCTGCGCGCTCAGGGCTCAGGTACAGGTCTCGCGAGATTAAGCGGTAGGCTTGCACTTTTACATTTCCGGTTATATCTCAGAAACTAATCGATCTACGATGAAGCCATTTTACACGATCATGGCCGGCTTGTTACCCAACAAGTCGATCGCATCTTCAACACTTAAAAGCTTAAGACGACGAAGATATAACCTGAAGTACACTAAATTTTCTAGGTGCAAAACCTACCGCTAAAACCCGCGAGCCCTGTACCATGCACAAGGGCGCCGGGTGCAGTGTCTGTGTGTCCCTGACTGACCTGCAGCGGTGACGCTGTCACAGAAAGCACCTGTTCATTGCCCAATGGATCCAGCCCAGTTCCGGCCGGCCGAGTGCCCGCACGTACGCAGCCAGTGTTACGGTCTGTGTTCGATCTATGTTACGGTCTGTGTTCAATCTATTTTACGCCCTGTGTAACGACCTGCGTTACGGCTTGTATTACGGTCTGTGTTACATACCCTGTTCTGGGCGGTCTCCACCTTGACCCTCTTAGCGTCCCAGAGTCGGTACTGGTAGACGTGCGCGTTCTCTGCCGAGACGTCCCGCAGGTGAACGAGCAGGTTCTGTAGGCCGACCAGCGTCTCAGCTGGCACCTGAGAAGGTCAGGGGAGGGTAGGGGAGGTCAGTGGTGTACTGGTGTCTGACATAGACCAGCGGACAGGGGGAGGGGAGAGGGAGAGGAGTCTGGTGGCGCAGAAGGACCGTTCCGCGCTTGAAAGTGGACATATCTGAGGACCGTTCCGCGCGCGCTGACACTGCCTCTAGAACCGTTCTGCGAGCAGTCAGACATGCAGACCGGATTGATGTTTTGAAACTTTGACATAATAAACTTTAATTAATTCGACACAGGTACTCTAACCGCATGTGTTTTTTATATCGCGGACAAAAAAGTGGGGATTGTTAGGGTTAAGCAGGGAGTCACCGATGTTAGATCCCTCTCTGGGTCCTTTCATAGGTCACGGTCCTGACCCGAGATAGCTGAGCTGTGTCGCAGCCCTGACCTCAGACAGCTGAGCTGTGCACGCCATCGGCTCGGCCGTCAGTCGCCACAGCCGCTGACGCCAGTGTCCAAACAGCTCCAAACAATATCCGGCCCTGTATAGCAGGATAAGCCATCAGAGGCGGGAGTGATCAATGGAGGGACGCGAAACACTAACGCCAAGGGGATGACAACTGCTGAGGAATAAAGAAACTACATGCAGGTACACTGGGAACACGTCATGCTGGAGTTGACGTGTTCCCAGCCCGTCCTGTACCATGCAGCCCGTTCCGGTGATCACTCCCGCGGGGCCGGATATTGTTGGGAGCTGTTTGGACACTGGCGTCAGCGGCTGTGGCGACTGACGGCCGAGCCGACGGCGTGCACAGCTCAGCTGTCTGAGGTCAGGGCTGCGACACAGCTCAGCTATCTCGGGTCAGGACCGTGACCCCCTATGAAAAGACCCAGAGAGGGATCTAACATCGGTGAGTCCCTGCTTAACCCTAACAATCCCTACTTTTTTCTCCGCGCTATAGAAAAACACATGCGAGTTATAAAAAACACATCCCTATCAACCAGTCCCAAACAGTGTACCAAATTTGAGCGCAATCGGCGTGGCAGTTCAGGGTTCAAGATATATGAGCAACCCAAAATCGCTACTGCAGCAGAATAACGAACACTCTTGGCCCTTCACGTCGCACGTGTCACGACGCTCACCATGATACATCAGTTGTAGTCAATAACTCACCAAGATACATCAGTTGCAGTCAATAACGAGATGGAAGGTATAGGATTACGCGCAACAAAGAGTAACGCAGGTCAATCAGCCCAGCGGTTGCTGACTTACAAGCCTATTAAAAACGTTACAGGAATACGCTTCGCTAGCTCAAACGTAATAGAGTAGAATCATTACATATATGCAATTGCTACTATTTCCTGGTTTTCTTTATAGGCCAAGGCTTGGTAACTGATAACTCTGCTGCCCTGTAATGGGTCCGGCCCGCTGTGGCGAGTGAAGACACTCGCTCTGACTGACTGGACCGCCAGCCGAGACGCTGCTGACTCTGGTGGTGAATGGTGAGCGGAAGAGGAGAAAGTTTACGCCAAAGCTGAAACAACTCTACATTGTATAGTTCTTCTGAATGCTTGAGACGAGGTGTTAGTATCACTGATGTTAGTTGTCGGACTTTCGTCCCCGTCCTGAGTTGAGATGTTAGTTTCACAACGTTTCGGCCAGTTACTTCTCCGGCCGTCGTCAGGTGTTCTTTGGCCCTTAGAAGGACCTGGATGTTGGTGGCGTTGCGCCGTATGCGTCATACCGTTCGAAAGCTCCTGTAGTCAGCGGGAATCGAACTCGGGTTTCCCCGGTGATAGTCCACGGTTCTAACCACTCCACTATCGAGGCAGACATTGTTATGGAGCTGGAAACTTGGTGTCATTTATCCCCCAGATGTTTTTGTGATTTCCTTAGTAGTGGGAGCCATATTGGGCTGATGTCAACGCTTGGCTTGCTGATGGGGTTGCTAGCCAGCGCCATGTGTGCGGCTTCCTTGATTTTTCTGATTTTCCAGTGTGGCTCCTTGTCGATGATGGTGGTATCATCCCAAGCAGGTCTGTGATCTCCTTCAGACCATGCATGCTCCGCCACACCGGATTTCAGTGTTTCGCCTCGGATGGTGGCCTTCCTGTGTTCTTCGAGCCTGACCGCCAGTGGGCGGCCAGTCTCGCCCTTGTATGACCTGCCGCAGCTGCACGGGATGTCGTATATGCAGACCCAACCCCGGCCTGTGAACGCAAACTAACAAAGCTCCTTAAGAAGAACAAGGACAAGGAACAACTCACGGACGCCCAGTACAGAAAGCTGAGCCAACATCACAGCAAACTTCCACACATGTACGGGCTGCCAAAGGTACACAAGACCAATGTACCGCTAAGACCAATAGTAAGCTGCCGTGGCTCAGCCTGCCATCCTCTGAGCCAGTTCCTCGTCAAGATCATCAACCCACTGAGTGGCAAAACACCTACATATGTCAAGAATTCAGCCCACTTCGTCTCACTGGTTCAGGCCATGCGACCTTCGCCGAACATGCAAATGGTAAGCTTCGATGTGGTGAGTCTGTTCACCAATGTGCCCACTACCGAAGCTCTGAGCATAGTGAGGACAAGACTGGAGAGCGACGATACACTGCCCGAAAGAACGACAATCCCGACTGATGACATCATGGAACTCCTGACATTCTGTGTCACCACCACCGCCTTCCAACTGGGCGATGACTACTACCAACAAACTGAAGGAATGGCCATGGGTTCACCCCTGTCACCGGTGATCGCCAACATCTACATGGAACACTTCGAGGAACTGGCCTTACAAACAGCACCACTGAAACCATCCCTGTGGCTGCGATATGTCGACGACACATTCGTCCTGTGGGACCATCGCGAGGACATAACACCGTTCCTAGACCACCTCAACAGCCTCCGACCCTCCATCCAATTCACAATGGAAACAGAAGTCGACAACAAACTACCATTCCTTGACGTCCAAGTGGAAAAATCTGAGGAAGCATTCAGAACATCGGTCTACCGCAAACCAACAGCGACCGACCGCTACCTCAACTTCAAGTCACACCACCCAGACACAGTCAAGAAAGGTATCGTAAGATGCCTGCAGACCCGAGCCACCAACATCTGTGGAGACGAAGCAGCCAGAAAGATTGAAATGTCACGCCTTACCAGCACCTTCAGGAGAAACGGATACCCAACGAGCTTCATGAAACACAAACCCAAGGAAGCATCCCAACAACAACCAAGGGATAAGCCCATCGCGACAGTATCCCTCCCATACAACAGAGGACTGTCAGAGAAGCTAAGGCGAATCTGCGGAGCATACAACATCAGGACGGTGTTCAGAAGTACCACCACCCTCCGCAGGTCACTCACAAAGGTCAGACCGCCAACCACCAAGGAGCAAACAAAGAACTGCATATACGACATCCCGTGCAGCTGCGGCAGGTCATACAAGGGCGAGACTGGCCGCCCACTGGCGGTCAGGCTCGAAGAACACAGGAAGGCCACCATCCGAGGCGAAACACTGAAATCCGGTGTGGCGGAGCATGCATGGTCTGAAGGAGATCACAGACCTGCTTGGGATGATACCACCATCATCGACAAGGAGCCACACTGGAAAATCAGAAAAATCAAGGAAGCCGCACACATGGCGCTGGCTAGCAACCCCATCAGCAAGCCAAGCGTTGACATCAGCCCAATATGGCTCCCACTACTAAGGAAATCACAAAAACATCTGGGGGATAAATGACACCAAGTTTCCAGCTCCATAACAATGTCTGCCTCGATAGTGGAGTGGTTAGAACCGTGGACTATCACCGGGGAAACCCGAGTTCGATTCCCGCTGACTACAGGAGCTTTCGAACGGTATGACGCATACGGCGCAACGCCACCAACATCCAGGTCCTTCTAAGGGCCAAAGAACACCTGACGACGGCCGGAGAAGTAACTGGCCGAAACGTTGTGAAACTAACATCTCAACTCAAGACGGGGACGAAAGTCCGACAACTAACATCAGTGAAACTCTACATTGCTGTACAGCTAATACGCTTTTCACCTGGTGGCCAGTAGAGGAACTAACAGTTACTACAACTGACCGTCAGAAGCACCCAACACACACCGTGCCGCTCCCAGTAACATACCAGGATGTAGACCCCAGTCGGGCAGCGCTCCGGCGTCCGGCAGCCGCAGCTGGTCCAGCAGTGACAGTAGCCGGCCGGCGCTGCCCTCCGGCGCCGTCCGACAGGCGTTCACGGCAACCACCCTGACGGACAGACGTTACACGGTCAGCAAAGAGACGAAACTCGGTCAGCGGACAGAAGCGTTGGGTCACCGGATGGCAGACCATCGCCGCAGCACACAGACCAGACAGGACTGTGCCGACAACGCAACCCCGTTGGAGTAACATGACCCTAATAAATGCACCGAAAATGCTCTCGTCTATCTCCATTATTTATAATAATAAAAAAATGAAAGAACAACTGAGATAAGGGAAAGGAGTGAGGCGTCTGTTAGGGTCCCCGTGCAATACGCCCGGTGCGGTGACTGACCTCTGCGCCGCTAGCTGGAAAGCTGGTTCACCCGGCTGACGACCTTCTGTACCTCCTCGGCGGAGAGCGGGTGGCCGTTGGTGGCCCGCCGCAGCCCGTCCCGGTAGCCGGCCGCCCCATCCGGCGACACGCCCTGGGGAGTCATAGCATAACACTCAGGCAGGTTCAGGTTTCAGTCCGACACACAGAACCGTCCGGCGACACGCCCTGGGGGCGACACATGGGCGCGCTCAGGGCTCAGGTACAGGTCTCGCGAGATTAAGCGGTAGGTTTTGCACTTTTACATTTCCGGTTATATCTCAGAAACTAATCGATCTACGATGAAGCCATTTTACACGATCATGGCCGGCTTGTTACCCAACAAGTCGATCGCATCTTCAACACTTAAAAGCTTAAGACGACGAAGATATAACCTGAAGTACACTAAATTTTCTAGGTGCAAAACCTACCGCTAAAACCCGCGAGCCCTGTACCATGCACTAGGGCGCCGGGTGCAGTGTCTGTGTGTCCCTGACTGACCTGCAGCGGTGACGCTGTCACAGAAAGCACCTGTTCATTGCCCAATGGATCCAGCCCAGTTCCGGCCGGCCGAGTGCCCGCACGTACGCAGCCAGTGTTACGGTCTGTGTTCGATCTATGTTACGGTCTGTGTTCAATCTATTTTACGCCCTGTGTAACGACCTGCGTTACGGCTTGTGTTACGGTCTGTGTTACATACCCTGTTCTGGGCGGTCTCCACCTTGACCCTCTTAGCGTCCCAGAGTCGGTACTGGTAGACGTGCGCGTTCTCTGCCGAGACGTCCCGCAGGTGAACGAGCAGGTTCTGTAGGCCGACCAGCGTCTCAGCTGGCACCTGAGAAGGTCAGGGGAGGGTAGGGGAGGTCAGTGGTGTACTGGTGTCTGACATAGACCAGCGGACAGGGGGAGGGGAGAGGGAGAGGAGTCTGGTGGCGCAGAAGGACCGTTCCGCGCTTGAAAGTGGACATATCTGAGGACCGTTCCGCGCGCGCTGACACTGCCTCTAGAACCGTTCTGCGAGCAGTCAGACATGCAGACCGGATTGATGTTTTGAAACTTTGACATAATAAACTTTAATTAATTCGACACAGGTACTCTAACCGCATGTGTTTTTTATATCGCGGACAAAAAAGTGGGGATTGTTAGGGTTAAGCAGGGAGTCACCGATGTTAGATCCCTCTCTGGGTCCTTTCATAGGTCACGGTCCTGACCCGAGATAGCTGAGCTGTGTCGCAGCCCTGACCTCAGACAGCTGAGCTGTGCACGCCATCGGCTCGGCCGTCAGTCGCCACAGCCGCTGACGCCAGTGTCCAAACAGCTCCAAACAATATCCGGCCCTGTATAGCAGGATAAGCCATCAGAGGCGGGAGTGATCAATGGAGGGACGCGAAACACTAACGCCAAGGGGATGACAACTGCTGAGGAATAAAGAAACTACATGCAGGTACACTGGGAACACGTCATGCTGGAGTTGACGTGTTCCCAGCCCGTCCTGTACCATGCAGCCCGTTCCGGTGATCACTCCCGCGGGGCCGGATATTGTTGGGAGCTGTTTGGACACTGGCGTCAGCGGCTGTGGCGACTGACGGCCGAGCCGACGGCGTGCACAGCTCAGCTGTCTGAGGTCAGGGCTGCGACACAGCTCAGCTATCTCGGGTCAGGACCGTGACCCCCTATGAAAAGACCCAGAGAGGGATCTAACATCGGTGAGTCCCTGCTTAACCCTAACAATCCCTACTTTTTCTCCGCGCTATAGAAAAACACATGCGAGTTATAAAAAACACATCCCTATCAACCAGTCCCAAACAGTGTACCAAATTTGAGCGCAATCGGCGTGGCAGTTCAGGGTTCAAGATATATGAGCAACCCAAAATCGCTACTGCAGCAGAATAACGAACACTCTTGGCCCTTCACGTCGCACGTGTCACGACGCTCACCATGATACATCAGTTGTAGTCAATAACTCACCAAGATACATCAGTTGCAGTCAATAACGAGATGGAAGGTATAGGATTACGCGCAACAAAGAGTAACGCAGGTCAATCAGCCCAGCGGTTGCTCACTTACAAGCCTATTAACCCGGCAGTTGCTGGGGTATTTCGCCACCCACCGTTTGCTGGGGGGGGGGGGGCGTTAAACGCCCCCAGCCGATAACTCGAGAACCAATAGGCGCAGCGAAACGCACGAGGCGGCAAACGAAAGAGCGCGACGAGACGCTTCAGATGAGTACTTTAAAGTTGAATTTTGAGGTCACAGGTCGGGTCAAGGTCAGGTCAAACACCTGAAATCGGGCTTTCAGTAGCATGGACTTCAGGACTTCGCAATGGGCGCCTCTCGCCATAAACTCTGTCAAAACGGTGCACAATCCATCTTATAAGGCCTACAAGAGTGTCAGCTCCATGTAGGGGTCAGTCAAGCATAGGTCAGGGTCAAGGTCAGGTCAACCGGGTAGGCACATATCCCCGAAAATCAAAACTGATATTCGCAGCCTGTGACACATGTTTTATAGGTAATTTGGGGCGTAGAACACGATGGTGACATTTATTTTATCATATGTGTACGTGTTTGGCTCAAAAAGTTCAATTTAAGAAATTCATGTATCATGGTCGTGAAGTAGTCACGAAAAATTGCCAAGATTCAGTTCAAGATTATGGAAAATGCGGAACAATAATCAATAATCGAAGATAGCCATTTGATTGAACATGGTATTGGCAGTCTAATGGCGTTTACAGCATGTCTGTATGTCTATTCTGTGATTTTATATGATTTTTTGAACATATGCCGTTTTTGGTCGAAAACTCAGAAATCATGACGTCACTAAAACCTCGATATCTCAAAAATTTTCCGACCGAATTTTTTGAAACTTTATCACAATAAACTTCAACCAATTCCCTACAGGTACCCAAAATTTGGCGCGCCTGCGGCGCGCCGTTTTTATGCTATGGCCCGGCGAAAAAAGTGGGGGCGTTTAACGCCCCCCCCCCCAGCAACTCGCGGGTTAAAAACGTTACAGGAATACGCTTCGCTAGCTCAAACGTAATAGAGTAGAATCATTACATATATGCAATTGCTACTATTTCCTGGTTTTCTTTATAGGCCAAGGCTTGGTAACTGATAACTCTGCTGCCCTGTAATGGGTCCGGCCCGCTGTGGCGAGTGAAGACACTCGCTCTGACTGACTGGACCGCCAGCCGAGACGCTGCTGACTCTGGTGGTGAATGGTGAGCGGAAGAGGAGAAAGTTTACGCCAAAGCTGAAGCAACTCTACATTGCTGTACAGCTAATACGCTTTTCACCTGGTGGCCAGTAGAGGAACTAACAGTTACTACAACTGACCGTCAGAAGCACCCAACACACACCGTGCCGCTCCCAGTAACATACCAGGATGTAGACCCCAGTCAGGCAGCGCTCCGGCGTCCGGCAGCCGCAGCTGGTCCAGCAGTGACAGCAGCCGGCCGGCGCTGCCCTCCGGCGCCGTCCGACAGGCGTTCACGGCCACCACCCTGACGGACAGACGT